CTGCCCATCTTACAAGGATTTTCATTTTGTCTAATCTTCTGCATTGTCAGCTAAACAAACACTGTTGAATTTTTTTCTGAAGAAAAACATAGCTTAAAAAGATACATATAATTCATACCTTTTGGGAGTAGTTGTTTGCTTTTTCCATTTCAGACACAATAACAGTGATATCATCACTTTCAAAAATACCTGACAATCAAATATATGCTAATCAGCATGCGGTTTTTAAGTGTACAAAATACATCTTTTGTAGAGTGTACAACAATTTGTAGAGCATGCTAAATTTCAATGAAAATAATTAAAAAGCCTTTGTTTCCACATTAGTAACTATATTTTAAATGTGCATCTTTAAAATATCTTGCAGAAAACAATGAATTTAAATAGAAAAAAAAAATCAAATTCCTGCATTGAGGCTGCATTATAATATTCTGCAATACAGCTGAAAGCCTTACTCAAACTAGGACCTGGTTTTATCTCAGTGCTAGTATAGCATTATCACATCCTAAAAAGTAAACGACTTGATGGGGAGGGGTGGAGCATTAATAAATATTATTTAATTAATAAAAAAGAAGTATGTGCTGATTTTCCTTTTCACATACCTGCTTCTCCAAACCAATGAAATCTCCCATTGGCTGCTTGTACTATTTCTTTAAAAGCAATGGCAGTTTCAGTTGGATTAGCATAGCGGGCTGGAATAATCCCACTGGAGTCAACATCCTCCATTACACTAAACAGACAGACATGAAGCTGCAAATCAAAACCTCTGCAAACCTCAGACACATAAGCACTGATTGTGTGCTGCGAGAAAGGAGGAAAAAAAAAAAAAAAAAAAAAAAAGTAGTCAGTAGTGACCCTCTACCTCAGACAAGCTTCTATCTACTCCAGGAAGTGAACTGAACTCCATGGTTCCTGAACTGATGTACAAACACTCGCAACCTGAGCAACTCAGTATGGGAACACACCCTGAGTAGCTGAATGCCTACACAAAAACTGTCATCATTACTAGTGACAACGGCAACAGCATTGCTGCAGCCACGAAGTGAGATAGGGTAGTTACGGGAATCAAAAAGACCCAAGGTCATGGACTTCAAGGTAGCCATGCACTGAAGCAAAGCAGCAGGGATGCAACTGTTCATTTGCCTTTTTGTACGTATCCTTCATTTTCTTGTTACCCATGTGGGCTTTTAATGATTTCTTAGGTTTGCCCAGAATTTCCAGAAGTTTGGTAACAAATGCAAGAGACACCCTACTGTGCATGCATGGTTATTCCAGCTGGATTATCATATGTTCAGAAACTCTAGGCCATGCACATGGCTTAACAGCCACAGAGCACGTGCACTATGAACATATATCGAAGCAATAGATCACTGTTATTAAAAACAGGAGCTGTCTCTACATAGCGTACTATGGAGTTCTACCATAAAATTATTTGTGGCTTTGTTCCCATGAGTTATGAGGAAATGATATCATATGAAATATTGGAGTTGGTTTGTTCAAAATCAGAAATTTGCAATGAAATGACAGCCAGAGCTGGAGTGGGAAAGGAATCCTAAAAACACCTCTTCCATTTTCTACAATTCACACATTATTAATAATTGCTACCTCCAACACATGAATAGCAATTGCAGAAATGGAAATTTGAGATCCTGATAGTTGTGCTGGCTTATATATGCAAAGAAGAAGTATTCCGCCAACGAGCTATGGTGACTAGCCAAAAGGGGAAAAAAAAAAAAAAAAAAAAGTTGAGATTGTGATAGTAACTTACAGAATTGTAAGTTGCAATTATTTATTATATTATTGCAATTATTATTTTGTAATTACAAAACCTATGATGATACTCACTGTTTCCTGATCAGGTATTCCAGTAGTCAGCAGGTAAAGTCCTTGTGATTTATGTTTATCTTTGTCTTTGAAGTCTGTTTCCACAGCTCTCCTGAGAGCACTCATGAAGTTTCTACTCCCTTTGCACTGCAAGCTCAACACCCACCTAAAAGAAGATGTTTACAGTTCAAAGAATGAGGCAACAAAAGCTTTTGTTTCTGCTTAAAGCCATAAAGAGAACTAAGAATCTTAACACCGCACTGGAGTTTTTGGAATTTTTGACAATGTCAGACAGCAAAACCAGGTTATATAATGACCTTGTGTAGCAAAATTGCAATATAGTAGAACTTACAGGAATAAAAATGAAGCCAGAGGTATCATGAAACCACTGAGGGTGTGACTCCACAAACAGAAACCTGACATTTCTTTCCAGTGTATGTGGAGAAAAACCCCATAGTTTAGCTTTCATATCCCAGCTGAATTTGAAGGAGTTTTCAATTCTTCGTGTAACCCGTGCATTTCTTACACAGACACTTCTATACCTGTGTGCATATATATGCTGTATACGTATGAAATGCAAAGTCACTAGGACATATTAAACTTTATAATGCTGTTTTCACAACAAACCATCATGAACAATCAGTGTAGACCAGTTCATGGCAAACTATCTTTGTAATATGATAAATTTATCAATTTTGTAAATTGTTCACAATGCTGTTTAAATCTGTTTTTCTGTTTTATCTGTTTCATGGTACCTACAATCACTTAATTCAGATATATGGGAAAGTCATTTGATCCTACCTCCAAGCATTTTGTAAGTTTTCTGGTTGGGAAGGAACCAGTTCCAGCTGCCAAGGCACAACATCACTCCCAAATCTTTCACAGAAGGATAACAGCAATTAATTTTCAGACTATGCTTTAGAACAACAAAAAAAAGAAAACAGAAAACAAACAAACAAAAAAGGCAAATTCACTGAAAAATAAAAGTCTGATTTGGAGTACTACAGATGTAAAATTGCCTGATGCTAACTATTTTCTATTTCAAACAATTTAATTATTCACATTTATCCATCACTCATGGGTTGTCAGATTTTCCATCACTCAGGGGTTGTCAGATTTTCAAGGCAGTGGGTCAGACTACATTTTTCTTTCCTGAACAGGACACTAAGTGAGCTGGTAAAAGCTCAGCAGAAGGATTGCAACAAAACAACTCCAACCCTCAGATGCTGCCTGTAATCTCTCTTGTGAGGCAACAGATCTGCTCTCCCACCAGATTTGGAACTCCATGAGCTGCTTGCTTTGACCTGCCACTCAGAAACCTGCCCAGCTGCCGTTCAGCAGCTGTGCCATACATTTCTGACTACCAGTGTTGAGTACAAAATTTTAGTACTATTACATATTAAAAAAAGTATGGGAGTTACTGTAGAATTTAAAGTGTGTTCTCAGTTACGGTACCTGAGACACCTCCAGAATCCTCTTCCAGGAAAACTTTCTGACATGTGAACTTACACTGCTATGAACAATATAGCAGGAAGAGAATTGTTGCAGGTATGATGCAATCAGTTTCAGTGAGCCTCACCCAAACCAGTGATTTTTAATTACTAATCTGGTCTCTGTACATCTGATCCATACACCTATCCAAAAATGATAAATCAGTCCTACTCTTGCAAATACTTCATCATAAAATGTTAAATACAATTAAAAAAATCTAAAATACACCTATTAGTAACTACAATCTCTCATACTTCTTTCATTGCTGTGTGTTACAATTATTTTAAAAGAATCTTAAATAGTTGCTTACGCTATAATATTGAAGTAATCCTTATTTGACATTTGTTCCTCAAGTAAAAGCCGCAAAGAATGTTGGATATGGATGATGTACATGGAGTTTGTCACTGATATATCAACAAGTATAACCACCCTATATAAGAAACATGTTATTTGTCAAAAAAAAAAAACCCAAAACAAACCTTGTTTAATTACATATTCTTATCTTCACTGTACTCTAACTCACCAGGGAAGTATCTTCTAGCTATGTATCAAAATGTATAAATACTGAATCTATATATTAAAAAAATCTGCAAAACATAAGGTGAGATTTATAAAAAAGCAGTAACAATAACATAAAGTCTGTCTTTCTTAAGCTGTACAATAATCAGGATACTGGCACATGTAGTGCCAAAATGGCTATTGAACCCTAAACAGGTCCTCTTCCTTCTCTGTACTTGAATGTCCAAAACATGTCTGAAATGTGTGGCTTACTTGCTAGATAACTCAAATTTAAGAGTCTCATTCTGTCTCATGGAAATTGCAGTTTTGTGTTGACTGATGATCACTGGATTCAGTAAATTCACTGGATTATCAGAAAAGCTGAATATCAGTATCTGTTTTCAAAAGTGGTTTGCTTACACTGGTCATAATCTGCAACTGTTTTCTCTACATCTGATCCTTTTCTGCCCTGTATTACTTGGTGCTGACTTACACACAAAGCAAAGGCTGGTAAATAAGAACCATCACCAGTACACAAAAAAAGGACTACCAAAGTACAATACCTCCTTTCACAAACACTTCCCCATATTCTTCTGCTAGCAACAGATAGCCAGTCAATTCGTTTCTCATAGATTCTTACCATTTTAGCAAGCAGTTTCTGTTGATAAAATATGGAAAGTTTAAGTTACAAATAAAGAATTCAAGTAAGTCTTTTATTGCTAAATGCTTAATCCACAAGTAAAATGACAACATAATATTGAAAAAATTAATGACTTGCTTTCATTTTGACAGTAGCATTTCATTCTTAGTAAAGGTAAGAGAATGCAGTCCATGAGAAAAACATACAATGATAAAAAAGCAACAAGGGGTCTAAAGGTCTAAAGTCTCTTCACATTTCCACTTGCTAGCATGTCCCAAAATAGTGGTCAAGCACAGTAAAAAAGAAAAAACAAGTTTCAAAATACAGTTTTTGCAAGCTTACTATTTCTTCAATAGCAATTTTAAGCAGTTTTCGTAACAAAACACATAATTTAAAATAAACACAGTATTTTCAGGTACGTATCATTCTTTAACACAGTATCAATTTGAAGACATTAAGGCAATTTGTCCAAACTCTAGAGAATATGACCTTTGCAAGAATATGTATGCATTATATGTATGGGGGCAAATCAAGCTAGAAAAGGACACTGAACTCGGAAAAGAAGCTATAAGGTAGCATGCTTTTGGAGCACAAACACAAGCATCTACTGGTGATCAAGGAGCCAGAAGCTGCCTTCACATCAGCCAGTTAAACTCCACATTCTCCTCTGTGGTCTGACTACAGAGTTCTACAGATTTCTCATCCCTCCTCCATTTTAAAGACATACTTGCCCTGCCTGGAAACATTCCCATAGCCCTTCGTCAGGACTGCTAGTGGAGTGGTGCAGAAGAGAGGAGAAGAGAGGAGAGAAAGAATGGAATAGACCACTATATGACACACCCTGGCTGCAAATACCCCCAAGCAGCTTCTATTTCATTAGACTTGTCCCACTCTCTGATGATCTGCATTCTGACAAATGAGGAAACCTCAAAAATAACTACTGCCTGTAAGAATTCCAGCAGCCTTCATTATGTTACCTGTATACAGATGTATCTCCCCTTCTTCCACACTTAAAAGAGCTCATGAAGTCCTCAAAGATCTTCAACATCCCATACAGTGTAAATACTCTCCTGGTGTGCCAGTAGTTTTAAGGTTATCTATATAGTAATATCACTACAGCAAATATTCAAAAATCCTAACATCCCCAACCTAATAGCGTTCTTAATTCATCTGCAAGCTTGAGAAGAAAACTCTAGTAGCAGCCTTGCTATCCTCTTGAAGAAAGTATGGCAACTATCAGGCTGAATGCAAATGCAAACCAGGATATTACGTTTGTGCAGCCAATTAAAAAACTTAAGGTAAATGTAAGGGATGGCAGAGAGCTGTGTGCAATGGAGCTTGAGGGAGACAGAAGAAAAGGTAAGAAGACATATAAAGTGTTGTCTTAGACACTGATCTTTTCTTCAGAGTGATGAAACAGGCCATCCTGTTGTGCTTGACACAATTCCAGTTGTGCTTAACACAAATGAACACGTCTTGGAATAAAAAGCTGCTCTAACTTGAGACAATGCAATCAATACTTAACATAATCTATTATCTGTAACGAATTTTACCATTCTTATTGAATTTGCCAGTGACATTTACAATATTGTTTGTAAGCTCTCTTTTAAAGCTTCCCTTTAGACAGACACCAAAGTCAATGCCACCTATACAGTTTAAAAATCATTTACTTGTGTTGTGGTTTAACCCCAGCCAGCAGCTAAGCACCACGCAGCCGCTCGCTCACTCCCCCTACCCTGATGGGATGGGGGAGAGAATCAGAAGAGTGAGAAACACTCCTGGGTTGAGATAAGAACAGTTTAATAATTGAAACAAGTAAAATAGTAGTAGTAATAATAATAATATAATAATAACAGTAATAATAAT